AGTCATCTGCGCACACAGACAGATCCAACCTCTCCCAACCCTAGGATGAATAGTTGGTCCTTGTCGTACTGACGAACGAACATCAAGCCTGGAATGAATATTGAGAGAATCCAAAGGCGTTTGTTATCCAATGTGGATTTTTCTTTCTAAAAAGCTTATGAATTTGCTTTGTCTATGGAAACGCTGATATTCAATCTACTCTACGTCTGCATCACTGAAAACGGTCAGTTCGTCTCCATCGCCGCGTCCTAAAAGCGAAAATTAAGAGTGTTATCGCTGTTAATCCCAATCCGGCTAAAGGTGGCTTCAGAGATACCACGTGTCACTATTGAAAAAAGAAAGGACTTCTTGTTGAAAGGACATCCAAGTTAGTCTTGACAACATACACAGGAGAGATTATTCCGGTTTTAGGAAAATGTTTGGTTGAAGTTAAGTACAAGGACTTTTGTGGACATCACTTGTACAAGGCAAAGTGCCCAGTCTCTTTGGCCGAGTTGGTTACAGCATTTAAAGTTAAAGTTAAATTGTCATGCCCAGAGATGTTCCAAGTTATTTCCATATCCCCTGATGTATCTGACCTGCTGAAGAGGCATAAAAAATTATTCAAGGAAGGACTATGAACCATTCAATGAGTCAAAGCAAAGACCTACGTCGATCCTAAAGCTCAGTCAAAGTACTTTAAAACTGCTTTCGGTAGAGTATGCACGACGTCAGAAAGTGGCAAGAGAATTAGACCGCTTGATTGATAAAGGAACAATCTGTTCTGCTCAATTATCGGAATGGGCAACTCCCTGTTGGTGCGAATAATTGTTTTCTTTTCGTAARTTTAATGTATTCTGTTCTTTTGTTCTAATCGTTTAAGTATTGTAAAATTGTGTAATTAAGTCAGTTCACTTCAACGTTTTAACGGAACTCAGTACAAACTATCTTGTAAGTATTCTTTCAGTTTTTTTCGTATTTTGACCWTTTTTGTATTATTCGTTTATTAACTTTTGTAATGTAACATTTTAGGAACCGTTCGTTTGTAATTAACGTACAGTAGTAATGTGAATAAACGTCAACGACGAGTTCGAGAAGTTTGGCTATTATATTCGTTCAAGATATGTCTAACAACGAACCCTCTACAAGTGTAACGACTAGAGGAAGAAACCCGAAAAAATCAAAGAAAGAACAAGAACGCGACGAAACGTACAAAAAGAAATCAGAATGCTACGCCGTAAACAGACAGTTACGTGAATTTATAAGGAGCTTATCGGCGTCCAAAGAGAGTATGAACATTGTTTATGACAGATTGCAAGAAGTCAAAGAATTGTTTTCATTGTACAAGCGAAAATTCATGGATTGGTATTCTAGGATTGA